AATTTAATGCTTGCTACACTAAGTAAAATCTTTTTTTGGTTTTTCTAGACAGGGTTTCTCTATGAAGCAGTCCTGGCTATCCTGGAACTCACTCTGTAGACTAGGTTAGCCTCGAACTCACACAGACAGCTTGCCTTTGCCTCTCAAGCTCTGGGATTAAAGGAGTGTGCCACCATCAGCTAACATCTTAATTAGTTAACTAGTGAATTTTGAGAAAGAGCCTACCACTGTAGTCCAGGCTAGCCCTGAACTCTGAAATGTTCCTCCTATCTCCTCCACCTCCCTAGTCCTATAATTATAGCCTGAGCCACCAAGTTCAGTTTCAATTTATTTTCTAACTTTTTGCTTTTTTGTTGTTGAGACAGAGTCTCCATATGCAAGCCCTGAATTTGTGATCTCCCTGTCTCAGATCCTCAAATACTAGGATTACAAGCATGCATTATGACACCCAGTTTTATTATCAATCTGTACACTGTTTTACAATTTTTCAGTATGTTCTATCTATTTCTATGACAAAATAATTCTTTTTTTTTTTGGTTTTTCGAGACAGGGTTTCTCTGTGTAGCTTTGCGCCTTTCCTGGAACTCACTTGGTAGCCCAGGCTGGCCTCGAACTCACAGCGATCCGCCTGGCTCTGCCTCCCGAGTGCTGGGATTAAAGGCGTGCGCCACCACCGCCCGGCTGACAAAATAATTCTATCCTTGGAAAAATATATTGGGAATCAAAGCCATTTATTTTGTAGGCTATCAATTTTTATGTAACCATCTACTTACTACTTACTGCCTATATTCATTCATGTATTTTAGCCAGTTTTTCCTACCACAGACTTCAGTAACTATTTCCACCTTCTGCTTAGCTTTCCCACAAAAATCTCAGACTACTACTCCTTACCCTGAGCGAGTTCTCTTAGCTCCTAATTCACCTGTCTCATTTGTAGTTATGGCTGCTCTGTAGACCAAGCTGGCCTACAACTCACAGAAATCCACCTGCTTCTGCCTCCCAAGTGCTGTGATTAAAATGGCTTGCACACAGAGGAACAATCAGCTGACCCTAACTCTCCATGCTTCCCAGATCAAAAAGGTCCCAAGTCTCTCTCAGCCCCTCCCTGTATCTTCCTGTGCCCCTCTATCTGGGTCCTCTAAAATCTCTATGGTTAATTCCGTTCAGCCAATTGCTGACTCTGCCCTCTGATTCAAGGTAAACATTATTATCACTCTTAGAGTGTCAGTGCAAACAAATATCCTTCAATACCAAGACCCAAACTGGGTTAGCCAACACTCAGGGTCTGAGATGACCTCTGTCTTTTATCCCTGATACAGGTGATGTCTGCATCTCAGACCACTGGTGAGAGAGTTTGGTCATTTTTTTTGTTTTGTTTTGTTTTTGAGACAGGGTTTCTCTGTGTAGTTTTGGTGCCTGTCCTGGATCTCACTCTGTAGACCAGGTTGGCCTCAAACTCACAGAGATCCTCCTGCCTCTGCTTCCCCAGTGCTGGGATTAAAGACATGCGCACCACTGCCCGGTGAGTTTGATGATTTCATGTCCTGATTCCATCGGCTAATCCTCCCAACAGGAGGGAGAAAGTTCAGAAAATATGAATTATTGCTGGGCTAACTATCTTTGATAGAATAAAGTTTCTCCCTGGTCTTGTCTAGGCAACCACACTTTTGAGATTTCATGTAGCATCTGTCCTGTCTGGAAGGACACTAATTAGTGGAACTCCTTATCCTCTGGCTCTTACACTCTTGCTGCCCTCCTCTTTCACGATGCTCCTCAAGCCTTGTAGATGTAGCTGTTTGGGTTGGGCACCCCAGTTACTTACTCTCTGTGATACCTTAAAACACTAGACCTTACCTTCAAGTTCTGGGAGGCAACCAAAGAGAGTGGCAATAGCCTATATTGTTTTGGTAGTTTCTTGGCCTGGAACTCACAATTTAGACCAAAATGGCCTGCCTCTGCTTCCAAAGCGCTAGGATCAAAAAACGTGTTCCACCTTTCCTGGCCTTTTTTTTTTTTAAAGAAGGTTTTGTGTAGCTCAGGCTGGCCTCCAACTGTCCATTACCTTGAACTCTTGATCCTCCTACCTCTACATCCTGAGTCTGGAATTATAGGCCTGTGCAGTCACACCTAGTTTAGTGGGTACTGATGAGGAAACTCAGGGCTTCATACATGATTGGAAAGTCTATACCATTTGAGCTACATTCCCAAGCCCATTTTTGCTTTCTTAGCAGGAGTGAAGGAGAATGCCTGCTGTTCCTGCATCCTCACTAGCATTTGGTACTGTCATCTTTCTGGACTTCAGACATTCTAGTCTGTATGTAATGATACCATATTCACCACCACCACCACCACCACCACCACCACCACCACCACCACCACCACCACCACCACCACCACCACCACACTCACCATCATCCATGCATAGAACTGTTTTTATTTTGTAAAACTGAAACCCTATATATTATACAAGAGTTCTGTTCTTTTTCTTTAAAAAAAAAAAAAAGATGCGTTTTACTTTCAAAAAATAAATTAATTAATTAAATGGCTTGCACTACTACACCTGGCTAAAAATTTTATCTTATGTGTATGAGTGTTTCGCTTGTATGTATGCCTGTGCATCACACTATGGATGGTTGTAAACCACCATGTGGGTACTGGGAAGTGAACCCAGGTCCTCTGCAAGAGCAAGTGTTCTTAATCACTGAGCCATTTCTATAGCCAAATATATGTATTTAAAAAAGCAACTTGGGCTGGAGAGATGGCTCAGAGGTTAAGAGCACTGACTGCTCTTCCAGAGGTCCTGAGTTCAATTCCCAGCAACCACATGGTGGCTCCCAACCATCTGTAATGAGATCTGGTGCCCTCTTCTGGTCTGCAGTCATACATGCTGCATACATAATACATAAATAAAACTTAAAATAAATCTTAAAATCAATCAATCAATAAATAAAAAAGCAACTTAAGAGCTGGAGAGATGGCTCAGCAGTTAAGAGCACTGGCTGTTCTTCCAGAGGTCATGAGTTCAATTTCCAGCAACCACATGGTGGCTTCCAACCATCTATAATGAGATCTGGTGCCCTCTTCTGGCGTGCAGGCAGAACACTGTATATATAATAAATAAATCTTAAAAAAAAAAAATAAACTTAAGCAGTATGGTGGTGGCACATGCTTTTAATCCCAGCACATAGGAGGTAGAGGCAGGTGAAGCTCTGAGTTTGAGGCCAGCCTGAGAACAGCCAGGGCTACTCAGAGAGAAAGCCTGTCTCCAAAAAAAAGGAAAGAAAGAAGCCAGACGGTGGTGGCCCATGCCTTTAATCTCAGCACTCAGGAGGCAGAGGCAGGCGGATTTTTGTGAGTTTGAGGCCAGGCTGGTCTACAGATCGAGAGTCAGGACACACAGAGAAACCGTCTTGAAAAACCAAAAAGAAAAAAAAAAAAGATACTAAAGTATTTTGACAGAATCCAAGTAGTAAAAGTATTTTTCCTGGTTAGATTCCGAGTGACTGGCTCTAAAAGATGTACAGGTCTGCATACCACTTAATAAAACTGACAGAAATGGCGCACACTGCAGCAGTTTCCCAAGTTGAAAAGAGAAGATTAATTTGTCCTTGGGACGAATGTAGCTTAAAAGCATAAAATTAACATTAGTTACACACGAAAGTAAATCAATGTATCCAAACCCTTTGGAATGGAGGGAGGTTTCCTTCTAAACCCAAAAATTATAATACACGTTATCAAAATGATTCTTCTCCAAACAGTTAGGAGGGAAATGACTTGAACTGTTCAAAGCTGGTGCAAAGCAGCAGGATTTTAAAGACTGCAGTATGTCAGCTGTTAATTCTAAAAAAGTGTTCTCAAGCTGGAAAAAGCAGACAATCTCTCTAAAAAAACAAATGCCCTCAAACATCACACATACATAAAAGAGCGTATACATCTACTAAATATCAAATTACACCGTTGGAGACCACTTACTAAACAAGGAGTATTTAACATCTAAAAATAAAAATAGAACCTCTACTGGTCATATTCTGCAAAGGTGGCTACTGCAAACTGGAGTTCTCGATGACTCACAGCAAGGATCAGTGAATAAATCCAGTGTTCACACTCCAATGTGGGGGAAGAGGAAAAGGGAGGCTCCGAGTCCACAAAGTTCTCCCTCTCAGAACACTGCAAAAAACTGTCCACGTCTAAGGACACTTACCCTTGAAACTCCCTGGAGAGCAACTTGGGAGACTTTCTGTTCAGATTTTTGAGGGGGAGCGATTTAAGAATGCTGCAAAACTGCAATTTTCATATAGATGGGCCTAATTTAGATTTCTACTTCTTTCCTTCAAGGAATTTCACGGCTTCCATTCTAAAGATGCGGTCAACACTCCCCTATTAATAAAATCCCTAATTCAACACCAAGCGTAAGCCGAAAAACCAAAACAAAACCTGAAACCACACAAAAAGCTTTCAAGAATATGCAAATGAGGGCCACAGACCATTTCCAATAATCCCTAAGTAAATCACATCGGTTTGAGAGAAGAAAGGAAAAAGGGCAGAACTCCGACCAGCGGAGGGAGGAAAAAAAGAAAAGAGCAGTACTGGGGGGGGGGGGGGTGAAGAGGTGCCGACCAGAACTGGGGGAGGAGCACAGGGGGGAAAAAAAAAAAGTCCAGCTGATGCTGACACTAAAGAGGACAGGGCGAAAAATACCCCAGCGACAGGAGGACCGGGTGGGACCGGGCTGGGCCAGGCATTCCCCGCAGGCCTACACCGGGGCGGCGGAGGAGATGGAGGGCAGCGCTCGCACAAGAACCCCCCCGGGGCCGCACAGCTCGGGAGGCAGACGCGGGGGTGGCGGGGTATCGGAAAGCCGCCACCGCAGCGGGTCTCGGAGGGGACCCTGCCTCCAGGGCTGCGGGCCGGGCCGCGGACGTGGAAGGGGGTGCGGCCCAGGGGCGGCGGCGGCGGCGGCGGCGGCGGCGGCGGGGTCCGAGCGAGCCGGTCGGCCGTACCTTGTAGTAAACGTCGAACTGGATATTCTCCGGCAAGGAGCGGATGTCGCGACGCGAGCGGATGTAGTTGTCCACGACAGCGGAGATGGCGGTGTTGTAGAGCGTCTCGGGGATCCACTCGAGCTCCACGGCCGCCATCTTCCCTCGCTCCTCCGCCGCCTCCTCCCGCAGGCCCCCGCCTCCCTCCGTAGCGAACCCGTGTGCGGCCCCGGAGGCTTCCGAGGGGCGGCGACCACGCGGGCGCGCGCCTCACGGACCCGGCCGCCCGGCCTCCGCGTGCGCACGGGAGCTCGGCGGCGGCGGCGGCGGCGGCGGCGGGATGATCGGGAAGACCGAGGCGAACGCAGAGCACTACCGAGCCCAGAGCCTCACATCCCGGAGAGGAAAGCAAGTCCGGTTCCGTCCCGGCGCCCAGCTCTGCAGGGGCGGGGCTGCGTTTGCGGCGTCATGACGTCAGCGCGCGCCGACGCGCCCGGGAAGGAATGCGGCAGGCGGAAAACTTGGGAGAAAGAGCGGGGACCGCCTGAGGGGCGGCGGGTGCGAGTTCCGAAAGGGCAGGGCACGGGAGGTGGCTGGGCCGTAGTTGTGACAGTGTTGTCCTCGGCGTGCTGCGGCTGCCCAGCACAGCCTTGTTTCAGGGCGTTTTAGACGAGAGCCCTCTTGAAGTTTCAGGTATACATTTAGAATTAATCTTTTCTTCCCCAAAGTGCACAGTGTGGCCAGGCGTGTCAGCACACTCCTTTTATCTCAGCACTTGGTAGGCAGAGGCAGGCAGAGATCAAGGAGCCTCACTTCTCTGCTTTCCTGGACAGGACAGAAACAGCCCACCCATTTTTTTTTTTTCTTTTTATCGTTTTATGTGTATGGTAATAGGTTTTCCGTAACTCGATAATAGATTCCTCTGCCAATGCAGAAAGCCAGATCAAGCCGAATTGAAAGAGCAAAAGAACAGATATATTTGAGCAAAGCAACTCCAAGCTGAGCCCTCCAGTCCCAGAGATGGGGCTGGAGAAGTCACATGGCTGAACTAAAGCAGGGAGGTTATATACCCTGTAGGTGAGGGGGTAATGACGTGTTCGCCATAAGCTGGGTTTATGCCCAAGTATGGTCAGAAGCGGACCGGTGGGATCTTGGGCTACTGGCCACTTCAGGGGAGGAACCGCCAAGAATTCAGAACCCGGCTTTGGGGCACTTTTTCTTTGTTTGAGATTCTCTGAGGGTGAGTGAGGTTCGGAGAGAGAGGGGAAGGGCGCTTTCCAAATCAAGCAGGAGTGAGCTGGAGGAGGTTCCAGACAAACACATGGGTGTTTTGCCTGCATGTATGTCTGTGCACCACATGCATGGTTGGTGCCTGCAGAGTCCAGAAGAAGCCACTGGATTCCCAGGAAGCTAGTGTTTTCAAATGATTGTGAGCCAACATGTGGGTGCTGGGACTCAAACCTTGGTCCTCTGGAAGAGCAACCGGTGCCCTTAAAGACTGAGTCATCTCTCTAGCCCCCAACCCACCCAGTTTGTTTGTTTGTTTGTTTGTTTGGAGAAAGGGTTTGTCTGTGTAGCCCTGGCTGTACTGGAACACACAGAGATCCGCCTACCTCTGCCTCCCAAATGCTGGGATTAAAGGCGTGCGCCACCACTGTCCTGCTCAACCCACCCACTTTGAAGGCAAAATATTCACATGCTTTATCTCTCTCAGTGATGAGAGCTCCAAAGAAACCATAATTTAAAAACTCAGAGGCCGGGTGTGGTGGTACACACCTGTACTCCACCAGTCAGGAGGCAAAGGCAGGCAGATCTCTATGAGCTCCAGACCAGCATGGTGTACAGAGTGATGCAGTTCATTAGTAGCCTGAGCTGGACAAGTTTCTTTTTTTCTTTCTTTCTTTCTTTCTTTCTTTCTTTCTTTCTTTCTTTCTTTCTTTCTTTCTTTCTTTCTTTCTTTCTTTCTTTCTTTCTTTCTTTCTTTCTTTCTTTCTTTTCTTTTCTTTTTTTTTTTTTTGAGGTGGCTATGACAGGATGTTGCTTTGCAGCAGATTCTGACCTTGAAAGCATCTCCTCCTACCCTAGCCTCACAGTTACTGAGATTTCAGGCCTGCGTCAACATCCTTGGCAATGTTACACTGTTTATAAGAGTCAACTGCCTAGACACAAGAGAATCAAGTACTGCCTACTGTGAAGCAGAGGATGACCTTGAACTCCTGACCTTGACTCGCCTTTATCTCCCCAGAGTTGAGACTAAAGTTGTGAATCACCACAGCATGCTACTTTAGGTATCTAGGATAGGCAAAGTTAGAGACAAAAGAGCAAGAGAATAGGGGGTCACTACTTAGAGAGTTCAGAATTTTCAGTTAGGGTGATGATAAAATTCTAGTTCAAGACCAGTCTGAGCAACATGAGATTCTGTCTCAAACAAACAAACAGAGCAAAAACAAACTAGATATTTAACATAGTGGAATTATTTAACATCAATGCTTCTGTGTCTGGCTTATTAAGATGTTTCCAAGCGTGGCTAGAGAGACCACTCAGCGGTTAAGAGCACTTCCTGATCTTCCAGAGGTCCTGAGTTCAAATCCTGGCCACCACATGGTGGCTCACAACCATCGATAATGAGATCTGATGCCCTCTTCTGTCATGAAGGCATACACGTAAATAAAGTACTCATATACATAAATACATAAATAAGTCTTTTAAAAGCAGGTGTTTTCAAGTTTCATCCATGTTATAATATTCATTAGACTTGAGCTCTTGTATACTCCTGTGGGTATGTACATGTGCACCTGAATGTATGGAGGCCAAAAAACAACTTTAGGCATCATTCTCAGGAGCACATAGGCCTTATCTCTGAGGCAGAGTGTCTCACTGGCCTGGAGCTTGCCTAGTAATTGAGGATTGCTGGCTAGGCAGCCTCAGAGGTATGCCTCCCCAACGCTGGGATTGAAAGCCTATGCTACCACACCTAGTCATTGTTTTTGTTGTTGTTAGTTTTGTTCTTAATGTGTGTTCTGGGGAATAAACTCAAGTGCTATGCTTTCAAGGTAAGCATGTCTCCAGCCCAGATTTGCATTCTTTTCTTTTCTTTGAGACTGGGTCTCTCTGTGTAGCCTTGGATGTCTTAGAACTCACTCTGTAGACCAGGCTGCCCTGAAACTCAGAGGTCCACCTGCCTCTCCCTACGGAGCGCTGGAACTTTGGGCTAGAAAAGCCATGTATTGAGAGCTCAGTGAGCTGTTGTGTGGGAGCATGGAAGATAAGAATGTTGGGAGCAGAGCAGACAATGGAGGCCTGGCTTGTGAAGTTTCAAAGAGAAGATTAAAGACAATCAGGGCCATTTGTTATTCTGAATTAAGATTCTGTGGTTCTAGCTAGCTTGGGCTGGATAATCAGCTGTGATTAACACGATCCCAGAACTACTAAAGTGAAACCTTTGCTTTGCTGGGATTCTCGATGATGGTCAGCTGGAGCTGAGAAATTAGTGGTGACTGAGAAGAGACCAGTAGGGTGTTGGTGGCCCATGCCTTTATTTTTGTTTTTTTGGTTTTTTTTTTTTTTGATTTTTCGAGAAAGGGTTTCTCTGTGTAGTTTTTCGCCTTTCCTGGAACTCACTTTGTAAACCAGGCTGGCCTCGAACTCACAGAGATCCACCTGCCTCTGCCTCCCAAGTGCTGGGATTAAAGGCATGCGCCACCACTGCCCGGCGGCCCATGCCTTAAATCCCAGCACTTAGGAGGCAGAGGCAGAGGCAGAGGCAGAGGCAGATGGGTCTCTGTAAGTTCAAGGCCAGCCTGGTCTACAGAGTGAGTTCCAGAACAGCCAGACAGCCAGGCCTACACAGAGAACCCCTGTCTTGAAAAACCAGTGAAAAAAAAGTTATATTACAGAAATAAGAAATGAAGGAAAAGTGAGAGAAATTCCTCAGAGTTGGGAAGGGGTTTCTGAGAGAGGGGAGGAAGCCATTGTGTTGGGGAATTTTTAGAGCAATGGTAGACACTGGGCAAAGGCTGAGGTGATTTCTACCGTGATTGGTTAATGCCCTGGGATGCCATGGGTTGACCCATGCTCTATGCCTGTCCCCTATTCCCACAAGGGAGATGCTACCAAGTGTCGTGGACTCTGTCCATCCTGGACTCTAGCTTTGACTTTGGCCATCTGCTAACTGTTTCTCACTGCCCAGTGCTTCTCCCCTCCAACCTCACAGGAGCCTCAAGTGCCAGAGACTATACTAACTTCTCCGTTCTCACAGCTATATGACCAGTTTGTGGCTGAGAGCTAACTCTCTCCCAGACACCCGGAAGTGGCAGCAGGGTTTCTTAGTTACTTCCCTTTTGGCTCCTGGGTTATAGGATGGTCTCTAAGTGGAAGCTCCCTATTACAAGTCACATTTACTTATAATTTAGTCTGTCACAATTACCTGAATTAGAGTCAACAGCACTTGAAAGGTCAGTAGTGCCTCAGGTATATTCCTCAAGGGCTTCAGGAGGCCAGCCAGGCTGTCATCACTGCCCCACAGCCCTGTCCCTCTTCCTGTCTAGCTCCTTTATCTCATACCCAGCTCCAAGTCCTCTTACTTAGTTTCCTCGGTGTTTCAAACTCTGCTGTTTTAACCCTTAATCCTCTCTTCTCTTTACGACATATGTGGGTAACTTACAGTTTTTACTCTGGGCCCGTTCCCCTGACCATGCAGAGAACTAACTCCCAGCTCTCTCCTTCCATCCTCTTCCCACCACAGAGGTCACCTGCTCATCTATCTGTTCTTGGTGTGCTCACCTCCAGTTACCTTAAGCCTTCTCTGTTTTTGTCTTGCTTAAGTGATATATTCCACCCAGGCCTCCTCTGGTCATCCTAAATAGCATTGTAAATGGCCAATCACTCTGAATCTCCTTTCTCTGCTTTATTTTTTTCCCATGGCACACACCACCTTCTATCATTTCACATAAACCACTCATTATTGTTGTTATTATTGCAATGCTGGGAATTGAACCCAGGACTTCATACCTGGTAGGCAAGCACTTTCCCATTGAGCTACAACCCCAGCTATTACGTTTATTTTTATTGCCTTTCCACTGCTCTTACGAAGGTCCCGCAACAGTAGGGAGTTTTGTCTGTTTTGATTTACTTCTCAGGATCCAGTGAGTAGAATGGGTCCTCGGTATGAACGGCATTTAGTAAGTGTGTGCTGAATGGAGTGAATAGGGGGTACAGGTAACTCTGACACTACTATCAAAGTTACTGGTGCTACTTAAGTTCCTGGCTTCTCTGT